GGGGAAAATTGTGGTAGGTGGCGTTTTTACTCGCTGTCGTTGCACCTAAACGTAAGGGAAACTTTTTCTGTGAGGGTGCCGGAGCCCAGGACCAGGCTACCCAGAGAGGTTATGGAGTTCTTCTCTGGAAAGATTCCAAACCTGTCTGGGTTCGATCCCGGGCAACCTGCCCCGGGTGGCCCTATTTTATCCAGAGGGTTTGGGATAGATGATCTCCAAAGGTCCCTTCTAATATCTAACATTCTGTGATTGTGTTGGTCTATGCCGAAATCTGTGGTAGTGTTGTGCTAAGTGTCACTAGGAACACAGCATGCATTCTCAGGACTGATACCAACGTCCTGTCGTGCCTCGGTGCAGCTTTGTACACATTGCAACCTCCTGAGCCCGCCTGTGCCTTGGTTTTAACTTTAACGTTTCAACTTTTCAGGCAGCTTTACCATGGATGAAACTGTCGCTGAGTATATCCGAAGAACTGTCCTAAAAATCCCACGTAATGAAATCAAGATATTGCTACAGAAATGGGGCTTTCTCTCTGAGGCACAGCTGGAAACCATTAACTTCCATCAGATAAAGGATAACATTTCTCAACAAGTTGTTCAGCTCTGTGAGGTAATCCTTTCCTCTGGGAACTGCCTGTTAGTGACATAAAGGACACCTGCTAAAGCACCATCGAAAAAACATTCTTATGAAAACATTAATTTTCTTTGGCCAAAGCACTGCATCAAATAGCAATTTGTAGTGTGGGAAATAAAGTAAAAATCTGGGGGAAAGAAAAAGTAAAGCTGAGCTGGAAATAACATCAGTTTTGTCTGACTGATGGAACTGCAGGAGTGACCTTTAGTGACTATGGCAATACATGTTTTGAGCTTTAAGTTGCATAAGGTAGATAAAAGCTCAGTATGTTAAACTTTTAAGAAACTGGTGTATTTCTAAATCGTAAAATGCATTGATTGACATGTCTACTCATTACATAGTGCTAATTTAAATTATTTGGTGTGGGTAACAATAGCACTAGTTTATCTTTTTAGACTTCTCAGTTTTTTAAAAAAATTTCCTTGGCCAGAACTACTTCCTTTCTTCACACTGTAAGCTAAAAAAGTTTTCTGATCTCCTACTTGTGTGCTCTGATTTTGGTGTACCAGGAATCATTTTTATGTAGTGGAAGTCTTTACATATATACAGTACCATAACTAAGACAGATACAGTTATTATTGATATCTTAAATTCTGTAACTTTTAAAATAATTTTCTATAGCTTTTTTTAATCATTCCCTTTGAATTTCATACTCGGAGATTAACTCCACAGATTGCAGAGAAAACTGCAGGCAAGAAACAAGTTATTCATGTAAGGCAGCAAATGCCATATTTTAAAACCACATTTGTGTCTGAAACATTCTCATCCGTAACAAGTAGTGTTATAAAGTTTCTTTAAAATCTGTTCATGCTGCAAAGGTTAAATAAGGAGGAACCAAGCATGTTAAAGTTCCTGGCAGTGAAACACTAACCAGTGTTGCACAATGTCATGAATACCCGTTAATTTTACTTTCTAATTGCTTGGACACCTATAGCTTGCTTGTACAATAAGGACAAGGTTCTCCTTGCTGCCTCTGCAGAGGAATGCATAAACCTTGCTGAAATCCCTTTCATGACTGATTTCTGAAAGCTGTGTAGTGTGCTCACTGGGGCCAGGTGTCAGAGGAGAGTCTATGTGCTGTGGACTTCAGTGCAATGTCATTTAAAGTACCAATACTGAGAGTTTTCACTTACTAAACAGTGTGGTAGAGCATTCTGGACCTGCACTTCACCATGTACTGTTATTCTTTCCAGGAAAATTCTGCTGACATAAAGCAAGCTGCTGTCCTAGACATAATTTGTAAGTAAAAATTAAAAGTTAACATCTTTAAATTTGTCCTGAGTAACTTGATAAGGCCCTTAGTTCCACAAGAGTGACATGGGCAAAGCTATTGGCAAATACTCCAGGTGGAATTTTAACTCATTAATTCTCAACTGCATTGTATAATAGTTTAAGTCTCAGGGTTTCTTCTAACAGTCTGCACTTAGTTTGAGCTCAGGTTAAGCTTAAGTCATTTTAGGTAAAATCCTTCTTCAAACACTGAACCTCAGAGATACCCTTTATTAATTGTTTAGCTGAATTACAAAAGATCTCTTTTTTTTTTAAGAAAAATTGCTTTTAGGCGTTTAAGAACACTGAATAAATTATGTTGTATTCTCAGAAGTGATCTTTAAGTATTGTAAAATTATTTATTACTTTCATTACATAATACACAATGTTATTGAGCAATTCCTGGTTTTTTTAGACAACTACATCTACCCAAACAAAAGAGTGTGGAGTGTTTACCAGATGAAGAAAACAGGTAAAATGTCTTTTCTTGCTGTAATCTCACAGTTTTCAGGAACTTACTGCAGTGCTGCCTCCTATCATACATTTGAAACACAAATATAGTCTAGTAGGATTTTTTCAGCAGAGATGTATTTGACATCCTTTCTATCAACTTCTTGAGCAATTATTAGATGTTAGTAACTATTAATTAAATATTAACCTTTTCTCTATGTAGCAATAGTAAGGTTCAAATTTAATTCACAGATTTTTGTATAAGGCTATGAGCTTCAGGTTTTTCTGCTTAATTTTGTTTCAGCAAAACTAGAAACAGCTGAACCAGTTCTTGTAAATGCAATTCTTGTTTTGCTTTTTCTTGTAACAGGGGAAGAAATAGAAATTTTTGACTTGAAAGATTTCAAAAAAGAATTTAAAAGACAACTTCGGTCAGCCTTGAAAAATGTAAGAACAAATCTATTCTGAATTTGTTACACAGTTCTGGTGTCAGCAGATTGTTTTCTTAACTTTAGGTGTTTTTGTTTTTTTTTTTTACTTACAGTCTGCATCAAAAATTAAATTGAATGATTCAATTAGGAATGGTAGGAACTGCATGAGAAATAGGAAAAATGTATTGTGTGTCTGTTCCAGCAACTTTACAATTATGCTGGAGTGAAATAAAATGTAAGTTTGCCTTAAAATGACAGACTTGAAGAAAAGCAGCATGGTTGGTTTTTGTCAACTCTTTGCCTTGTTTGAGTGTATGTATTGCCTAAGTATATTGATATTACTCTGTCCTGTCACCCAGTAAGAATGCACAAACAACAAAAATTGGATCATAGTATAGAAGCAATCTGAAGTAACCAGAAAGCAGGACAAGGAAGTTCAGTTATTATGTCTTAGTCTAGTAGCTAAGTGGTATCCATTTCCTTTTAGTTCTGGTTTTGAAATGGTATTTTGTAATGGCTGTGAGAACTTGGCCCTGGTATTTCATCACATTATGATGATGGAAAGATCACAGTCAACAGCAAGAAGCAGTTTCTAGGCTAGGTAAGAAAAAAATGGAAGGAAATGCTATCATCTCACTTTTTTATTAAGCAATCTGCAGAAGCCTTTTCTTGCTGTAGCTCACCAGCTTCATTTAAGCAAGCTAACAGAAAATGCCTCTGGCTAGTTAGCTTTTTCACCTCTTGATGCACAAAGGATTCCCTCTGACAACAGTAGAGGGCAACACATACAAATCAGACTAATAGATAATCAGATGTAATTATTATAACTGTATTATAATAAAGTTTTGCAATATTTTCATTGAAACAAAAAATTCCACCAAAACTTTGAGAAGTGATGTTGGTCCAGCAATTTAAACATTTTATGACCTAGCTGAACTAAAAGCTTGGCTACACGTGCTTCAGTCAGATGGAGGAGGGTTTTATCTTTAAATAAAGTTTTCCTGCTTTTAAGTTGCCCAGACAGAGTCAAGGTAAAAAGAAGCAACTGAGGAGCAAAGCTACAAGAACAGGAAAGTCCATCTTCAAATTTCTGATGCTCTACACTTAATCAATGATAAATATTATGTTCAGGTCTATAATTGCAAGTTGATCAAAAGTTTAATTTCTCAAAAATTGGATGCATTGGAAATATTGCCACTAGCCCCCTATCTAATTAGGTGCCTTTTTTTCCCAAAAGAGAAATCAAATCTTTTGTAATAAGCTATTTTTATTTTTACCCTTCAGAAGACAATGTACATCAACAGAACAAAAATCATGTTACAGTTTGAAAGGTGCTTCTTACTAATATTTTTTTTTTCAGTTTGTGAGGTTGTAATCTTTCTATGGGAATTTGATTTAAATATAATCCTGACCACGCTAGTGGGTTTGGTTTCTTATTCAAGCAGCCATGTACTAAATTATATTTGGGCCTTGTGAACACAGGGTTAGGAGATAACAATCTTTTGGACACCTGAATGTGCTGTAAATCAAAACTTTTCTTCCTCTGTTTAGGTCACCATCAGCTTTAGAGAATATGAGGATAATGCGATCTGGATTAGAATTGCCTGGGGAACTCCATATAAAAAACCAAACCAGTACAAAACCAGCTACGTTGTCTACCATTCACAGACTCCCTATGTCTTCATTTCTGCCTCAGTGCTTAAGAGCAACTTGCCTCTGCTGTGTCAGGTACAGAATAAAGCTGTGTAGACCTTGGCTTCACCACAGGCATGTAGAGCTGTCATTGTCTTAGCTTTTAAGAAGATGTGTTCTTCACTTAATTTACTAATTTATTTAGTCATTTTTTCCCTTAGCTCATGATAAAAATGGGACAAAAGTCAATCTTTGTGACCTTTGGAATGATGCATTGTGAATAAACTGAGTTTATTGGAATTTTTGCTGACCTTGAATTGGTCTAATTTCTTAACCAAATGTTAGACAGTATTCAGTTAAAGTGTCTCATGGAAGTTGAGGAATATTACATCAACACAGTTAACTTCAAGAACTAAAAGTATCAGCTCATCAGGATGTGCTATTAATTAGCTTTAAAAGATTTTCTGTCAACTCAAGGAGATCAGTGTTGCTAGTATTTTTTTTTTTTCCTCTATTTAGCAAACTTCTGTACTAGTAAATTATTAATCTCATTTTTGTTTTTGTTAAGCTTATAATGATGTAAAGCATATCTGGTTAATCTTGTGAATGCTTTCAAATATTAACTTAAACTTAATAACAGTCTATTCAACATTTTTCCAGACATGAGACTCCTGCTAGTTAAAGAGCAGTTGCTTCCCTTGAGACGAAAACATCAAGATGTCTAGAAATACTGTATTTGTTCCATATTATACATTAAGATGTTAAAACAATTTCAATCTTTATTTAAAGGCCCTGGTTGTTGCTTCCAATTACCGTGACATCCGTGAAATGGAGCTTCGAAGCCATTCTTTAAACTCCCTCAAAGATATTGTGTTTAAGAGATACAGCCAGGTGAGCCATTTTGCAACTACATCCTAAAGTCTTGCTTTTTGTTTCAGGCCTAGTTCTCACTCCCTAGCAGGGGGAAAATTCACCTCTTCCAAGAGACCATCAAGTTAAAATAATATTGAGCTACTGAGGTGGACAGCCTTTCATTAAGGTAACCTTACAATGGGAAGTAATCACTTGGCATCCAATCTACTTCTTATTATTGTTACTTCTGTTCGTTAAACTCAGTCTAAAAATTGTATGAACGCTTCAGTCCTAGGCTTTTTTAGCATCATTTCCATACAATTCTAGAGCAATGAGTCAAAGGCTATTAGAATGGGCACTTCCTCTGCTTATACGTGTAAAACTTGTAAATAGGGAAATGTTTAGGATAGACGTTCCTAAATAGTCTAAAAGACTATTCTTTTCTCAAAATAAAGGTAGGCTTTCTGACTTCTAGTAACTGTCAAAAATTGGAACCGAGTGCTCACTTTCAGAATGAGAAAGTTTTAAGCAATATCCTCTAAAAGTGGAAGTGTACTAAAATATCTTTTTTTTTTCCCCATTTAGAACTTCCAAACTTATCATCCAAAACCTCTACAAGAAAGGAGTGTAGCACCAGAAAATGGTACGTATATTTTAAATTAGATGTCAGTCTGAATGTCATTACTGCTGACTTCTGAAATGAGAATCATCACAGGAGATGTACATTGGTTACATTCACACGATACACATCCCTGGTGGGGTGCCAAAATACTGGCTGTCACTAGGAGAGGGAAATATTTCCCTATGACTGTCACTGGACATAGTTATGAAACCAAAAATACACAATGCATAGTATCTCCTCTTGCATTAGCTTGAGTTTTTTCTCTTGGTAAGAACTGAAAATAGAAATGGTGGAAACAATGAGCTTATGGGGGGGGGGTGAAGATTATGATGAGTTTTTTAAAATTATTACTTTCAGATTGTCACTGGAATAATCACCTGATCAGAAAAACAGTATCGGCTGACAAAGTTGTTTTCCTGTCTCTTTTCCCCTGCAGTAGACTTAAGGATAATTAATGAAAACAAAAGTGAGAAAGAAAGAATACAAAGAGTGACTCGGGAAATTTTTGGTGATGGTCCCCAACCAAAGCTCGAAATTGCACAATATAAGGTAGTAAAAGCAAATTTATTTTTTTTTAATAGTGGTAACTACATTAAATTGCAAATTGAAGAAATACTACATTTTAACGTAAAGTTCAGAGAAGATATTTTAAAATAGTTAAAAGCATCTTTAAGAAACAGATTTGCATTGAGATTTGGTCGGACAATTAGATCACATTCCAGATGTTTAACCTTGTGAACTAAGCATTTGGACTTCTTTCTGTAATCAAGGTAGATTTACACCAGCAGTGTGGTGAAGCATGAGAAATTAGGGTTACCTGAGGTACAGAGAAAGCTCATGGTACATATAGCACCATAATTTAACTTCTTGGATGATGCATGGATTTTACCTGATGTAACAGATTTCAAATAGAATTTCAATATTACTGAACAAGCTGCCTCTTTCAGCAGAAAACTGTTTACCACATGGTGGCACCCTCTGATTTTATTAAAATATTCTTGTAGCGGGAGTCATGTTACCACTACAAAGGATAGATAAGATACAGTCTTATTACATACTACTTTTTTAATGTAATGTTTAAATACTAACACATCAGTAAAATATATTTGTTGCTTATACTCCCCGATTAAATTTTATGTTAACAGCTTGAGACGATGTTTAAAAGTGATCCTAAAATGGGTGTTTTGAATAGAAAAGAACCATTCAGATGTCTGGTCAAGTTTTCTAGTCCACATCTCCTAGAATCGCTGAAATCCTTGGCACCAGTGGGTAAGTGTTCTAATGCTATGAAATGGAGGAAAAACCCCAGGGTTAAATATTTTTGTCATCTTACGTTCTGCTTGTATCTTGCATAAGGGACAAATTTCACAGTTTGTTTAGAAATAAATAGAAATTTAGTAGACTAAAAATGTTGCTGCTGTAAAAACTTATGTCTAAACACATACAGGTTTGTTCTTTGAGTTACTAGTTTGTACATAGATACTAGAGTTCTGTTTTTAGTTTTATAACAGTTATGAAAGGTAAATATTGGCTGAATTAAGCTATAATTATCTGTCTCTCTTTCCAGGTATGGCTGATGCACCACTTTCACCACTACTTACGTGCATACCACAAAAAGCTAGGAATTATTTTAAAATCAGAGAAAAAACAAATTTTTCAGGAAACTTTGTAAGCCCTTAATTTAAAACTGATTCACAGAGAAACATACAACTCATTTATTACTGGTATTACTCTAAATCATCATAGACTTCAAAACAGATTTTTAAAAAATAACTTATTCTTTGATAATTCCTTAAAGTTTTTTCCAAATTATGGCTTCTTTGAATTATTTTTCCACATTTGTCTTTAACAGAGTTAGGCCTTTCGTTAAATAATAACAAGCCTTAAGTGGTGAGTTTAAACAGAGATAGTGGTTATTTAAAATTCAAATGTGATGACTGCTCTTAGCTATGTTTTTAATAGTATTTGTGAAGTTAAAGCTAGCTAAAGCTTTTAAAGATACAGAAAGACAGCTGTGGCTGTTTAGCTTACTATTTTAGGTGTACATAGCTAAGACATTCTAGGTGGCTGCCTTCTTTCAGCTCCAGTTCATCAGTGCAACAGAATCCATGCCCCATTTTCGACACGTGACTAGTGCCATTCAGATAAGTGGGACTACATGTCTGCAGGTCAGGTGTGTGTTTGTCTTAGCAGATGAAGATTAAAGACCATTACAGGGCATGGGGAAGAATGGACTCTTGGAATATAGGTGCCAGTAAGAAGTTTCCATCCTGAATTAATGGGTATTATTAATTCAGAGCTAGAGTTTTTATTTGCCAAGGGCAAATAACAAATACTTAAAAAAAAAAAAATCTATTCGTGTGTATGTCCTATGAAATTTTGTCTTGGAAGACTGCAGTGCAACAGGCAATAATTTTCTTTTGATGAAGTCCACATCTAAGAATATTTTTAGAGTATTTGCTACTTTTTTCTGCTTGGGGACAGACTGCAGAATCACAAAAGAGCTTTGCACTGGTGTTTTTCATAGTCGGTAAACTGCAGTTGGATACTTTGGTGTAACCTGCTGCATCATTTCTGAGCTGGATTTGATCTGAACATTCAATTACAGTGTACAAACATTCTTTAAATTCTGTTACTTGGAAACTGTTTATATGAAATTTCCATGGCACTTTAGATATGTCCATGTGCAAAGATAGTCTTCATAGCACAGTGTAAATATTTTGTGAGGTTGTATAGGAATGTTTTTCTTTTTCAACCTGTAAATAAATGTGTAAATTGTCTTCTCATAGAGGTTCGTTTGGCCTGACCTTAGAAATTACTTAGACTGATTATTTTTTTAGTTGTTTTTTTTTTTTTTTTTTTTTTTTTTTTTTTTAATTTGTTGTTGTTGTTAACATCTCTGGGTAGCTCACACGAAAGAGAGTTAGTTTAGGGCTATCTGCTAGTGATGTATCTTCAGGACTTCCATCAGTGTGATTAGTTTCACATAAAATGTTAGGTTTCTGAAACAGTTCTAGGTTTTGTGATATACAAAATGCGTGATGGACATTAAGAGTTGGCTCCCAGTGTCTCACTCATACCCTCAAAGAACCTTCTAGGAGTCAGAGCCATTAAGATTCCAGTACGCATTTCATTCGGCAACTTTTTCTTCCTAATGCTCTCTCCCAAATAGCTTAAATGCTTTAGATAATAATGATTTGCCACAAAGGTAAAGTTCCAAAATACTCTAAAACACTGTGAGGCCCTGGCCTACTGCCTGTTTTTGCCTCTTATTTCTGGGAAAAGCACTCTCCATCCCCTCTTTTAACAACCAAAAAGTTGGCTTGTGATATTCGGATATACACTTTATCTCTGACTTCCTGTAACCAAGGCTATTACAGGAACTCCGCAGCAGCCCTTCCAGGCAGGCAGGTATGTATGTATTGATCACAAGCAGAGGTATGGATGCAGAGAGGACATGGGCTTTGCAGTGAGCATGAGGTCTCAGCCCATCCTGGGAGCTACATCACATAACTCTTCTCTGGTTAAGGGTGGGCTCCACATCCGTATATACATTTTCT